GTGTGTGTGTGCGCGCGCGCGCAGCAGGTGCCTACGAGCAGCCGGGCGGCGCGGCAGGGCGCCCACAGGTGGCCTCATCCTCCTCCGCCTCGACGGCTGCCTCGGCCTCGACCTCCTCCTTTGCGGGCTTTGGGGCGGCGACGGCTGGTGGTGGTCCATCGCCGCCGTCGACCACGACCAGCGGGAGCCTTGCCGCCACGGGCGGTGCTCCCGGGGGAGTGCGGCAGCCCCGCTCTCTCCAACACCTGGCCTCCGCCCCCGTCTTCCTGTACTCCCTCCCTCCCTCCCTCTTCCACGTTCACGTCCATCTCCGAGCCACCTACCCCCCCCCAAGCAACCGCCACGCGTCGTACCCTGCTCTCACCTACGGCGGCGGTACGCAGCACGGGCAGAGGTGGCCTCGCCCCGGCCAAGTTCGGAGGGAGCACCACCAGCGGCGGCGGCGGCGGCGGACCCGGTGGTGGTGGTGGACAGCCCGCTCTGGGCTCGTATGCTTCTGCGGCGGCGACCGCCAAGGCCCTTTCTGGAGGGTCCTCATCGTCGGCCGCGCTGCTCAAGCCCAAGCTCGCCGGAGAGGAGCTGCACCACCACCACCAGCATCACACCACTGTTGCTTCTGGCGGCGGCTCCGGGGAGCCGCCTGCCGGTCTCATCACTCACGGCGTACGCGCTCCTCCCACACACACGACACACACGACACACACGACACACACACACACACACACACGACGAGGCATCGTGCATTCCGTCAGATCCCGTCAGATTGCGCAATGTTATATGGATCTGACGGGATGCACGGTGTCTCGTCGTGTGTGTCGTGCGTGATAATACACCACCACGCGCGGGGGTGGGTACAGGGCACGACGTACTACTCGTACGACAACACGATGATCCTTGCGCCGCCGCCCGTGGCGGGAGCCCCCTACGGGCGGCAGGCAGGGCACTTGCCGATCTCCTCCTCCTCCTCCTCTCGTCGTCGTCGGGCCATCTGCCACGGGGGCAGGGGTCCCTGGGCCGCCGTAGCATCCAGTCCTTCTTCGTGTCGGAGGCCCTCCGCCAGGACCTCGCCAAGCGCACCTGCGCCCTCTACTCGGCCGACCCCGACCTCGACAGACCCACCCCGGCGCCTCCTCAGGTGACCCCACCCCCTCCCCCCAAAGTGTGGTGCCTGGAGCTGATGGCCGCGTGCGGATGGGGCGGATGGGGCGGATGGGTGCCATGTGGGTTTGGGGGTGCGTGCGCACGCCCGCCCGTGGCAGGTGGGGGTGTACCACTCCCTGCAGCTACTGGAAGCGCCCCTCCGCGAACGGGCGGGCCGGGTGTTTGGCTACGCCACCACCGTGTTTCGCGCCACGTCTTCGATGGACGGCGCCTCCTATGCCCTCCGGTACGACTCTCTCTCTCTATGCCCCGCGGGTCGTGGTGGCTGCTGCTGGTGGCCGGTGGTGGCTGGTGGTCGATCCAAGGACGGATCGCTGCCGCCGCGCCGTGACTACTGCCGCCGCCGCCGCCACGGGCCTTAACCACAACGCAGCTAATCGGTGTGCCGCAGGAGGATAGATGGGTTCCGACTCACCAACAAGGTGGCGGCCTCGCACGTGCTGGAGCAGTGGCGCCATTTCCAGCACGCCAGCGTGGTCAACCTGCTCGACCTCGTCCTCTCCACCGACGCCGACGATGCCAACGGTACACACACACACACCACACACACCACACACCACACACACTCCGGACTCAGTCAACTCGGGTGGACAATAATAATGCGGTGTACGCGGTGGCGGTGGCTGCAGCGGTGTACGCGGTGTACGAGTTCGTGGCGGGGGCAGAGTCCCTGGAGGCGCGGTACCTGCAGGCGTCGAACGGGGTGCCCCTGTCGGAGCCCGCGCTGTGGTCCATCTTCATTCAGCTCTCCACGGCCCTACGCGCCATACACGCCGCAGGCTTTGCCGCCCGCAGCGTGGACTCGTCCAAGGTTCCTCCCCTCCCCTCGCCCCTCTCAGCCGCCGCCGCCGCCGCCGCCAGCAGCAGCAGCAGCAGGCCTTGCGTCGCAAGCGGGTGCTCACCTCACGACGGTGGTGCTGGTGGTGGGGTGCTGGTGCTGGTGGGCAGGTGCTGGTGGTCACGTGCGCAGGCCGGGTGAGGGTCAAGCTGGGTGCGGTGGGCTTGCTCGACCTGGTGAGTCCCGAGTCGACGCACGACGTGGGCCACTTTCAGCGGGAGGACCTGCTGGCGCTGGGCAAGCTCATCCTCTCCCTGGCTTGCCGGTCGGCCCTCGCCCTGGAGAACGTGTCCGATGCGCTCGAATACGTCACCGCCCAGTATTCGCCCGACGTACGTCCACACTCGCCATGGCGGGATCCCCCCCTCGGCTTTGGGGACGTGGTGCAGCTCTCACCCGGCCGCGCGGTGTGTCGTGTCGTTGGTCGTGTCGTTGGTCGTGTCGTGCACCGGAGAGTTCAGTTGAAGCAGCTGCTCGTGAGCCTGCTGTCGCATCCGGGGTCGGCGAGCTACCCGACAGCAGAACAGCTGTGTGGGATGCTTGCCCCTCGCATCCTGCTGGAGCTCGACCAGGCCGAAGAATACAGCGACGTCCTCGAGACAGAACTGGCCAAGGAGCTCGAAAACGGACGCCTCTTCCGTCTCCTCGTCAAGCTCGACCTCATCGACCTCGCCGGTGGCGATCCCGCCTCCTGGCACGAGGTTCGTTGTTGCTCCTCCCTGCCCCCCCCCCACCCCACCTGCGATCAATCCCAGCTCCTCTCTCTCTCGCTCTCGCTCTCGCTCTTTCTCTATGTGGTGGGTGGAGGACCAGGCGTTGACAACACGTACACACGCTCGCCACGGCACACAACTTGTGTGGGGGTGTGGGGGTGGGGGGTGGGGGGTGGGACGCAGGGCGGAGAGCAGCATGCGCTCCGGTTGTTCAGGGAGCACGTCTTCCAGCCCGTGGGCGAGAGTGGGTCGGTGGTGGTGGACTTTGGGCACGTGGTCGAGTGCCTCAACAAGCTCGACCTGGGCACGGAGGAGCGGGTGGCGCTGGTGGCGCGCGACAATGCCACGGTGCTGGTGGCCGCCTACAAGGAACTCAAGCTGGCTTCCGAGGCCGCCTTCAAGCAGCTGGTCAGCTCGAAACCCGCTTCTTCCCCTATTTCGTCTTCGTCGCATGCCCCTCTCCACTCCTCTACGACGGCCGCCACCGCTGCTGCTCCCTTTGGTGGCCGCCACGGCACGCACCCCCGCCCTTACTCCTCCTCCTCCTCCTCCTCCTCCTCTCGTCCTTTGCTTCGGCGGCGTCTCTGCACCACCTCCCCACCTGATCATCATCATCATCGTCACGTCACCATCGCCATCATCGATCCCAGTCGTAGTAGCGCCACACACACCCCCGGAGGTGGAAAGAAACCTGGCCGGAAATAAACAATTTCACTTTCTGCCTTTTCCACGCCACCACCGCCGGTGCCACAACTCCCTGACTCCGCGAGTGGGGGGCATTGACTCGCGTAAGGAGACCATGGCGTCCATCCTCGGTGGGGCGAACCTCTGCTGTCAAATGCCGCCTCTACAAAATAAGCACAAGGCGCTCCTGCTGGTGCTGGGCGGTGTGGTGCTCTTCTGCCTTCAGCTCTACCTGATTAACGTTGGCGTCCGCTACGATGCTGAACCCATCACCGATTGGGTGTACCTCCTCTCCGAGCAAGCACCAGAGAATCCGCGAAGAGTGGGCGTGGCAGAGGTAGCCGCCCTGCTGGACACGCAAGGCCTCGTGCCTTCCGAGAAGCGGTTGGTGGTCGCTCTGGCCTTCCGTGACGTGGGCGTCGAGCGATGGCCGCACGCCGCCCTCACCATCCCCTACCTCCACCGGTGCGTACACGTCGTCGTGTACAAAGGGCCTATTGTGTGTGCGACTTGTGGTGGGGAAGGGACAAGTCGTGGTGGCGGCGGCGGCGGTGGTGACCAACCATCTCTTTTGTATCGCCAGCTACCTTCGGCTGCTGAAGCTCAACTACACGATCGTGCTGTCGGAGCAGAAGCTGAACGACAAGCTCTTCAATCGAGGTAAGTCGCGTGCGTGCGTGCGTGCGTGCGAGAGAGACAGAGAGCAACATCCTGGTTGAGCGAAGAGTATGGGATTAGGCAGGCGATGAAGGGGAGTGTGGGGTATAGGGTGTGGGTTCATGGTTGGGACTCGCCCCAATTTCCGCTCATACGTATGCCCTGTACGTGCGTGCGTGTGTAATGGCAGGTATGGCGTTTAATGTGGCGTTCGACCAGCTGAGGGACCAGTGCGACTACTTCGCCCTCTTCGACATCGATTCCCTCCCGACCTTTCATCTCTCCGAGTACGCAGCCCCTCCTCTGGTGACCGCGTCCGCGCGGACCTCACCGACGACCTACCCTACCCTTGACGATCAGGTCAGGCCAGCTGGGCTTCGTCGATGTGCGATATCCTCCTGACGACACTCCTGTTCACCTGGCTGTTGGGGTGGAAAAGTTTGGCTGGCAATTGTACGCACCCCCCACGATAATATTTCTATACTTTGTATTTCTGTGTGTGTATATATGTACCAAGTTATACGCTGTGCTGCTTCTTTCTGCTGCTGTCATTTGGAGCTAAGATACATTCACTTCTCTTTCTTCCCTCGCGGCTCCTCAGGGCGTACGATCATTTCATGGGTGTGGCCACGATGTTTTCGAGGGAAGCCTACCTGGCTGTCAATGGCTTTGGTAACAACTACTATGGCTGGGGGTACCTTGTCCTCCGCGCGCTCTCCTCTCTCTCTCTCTCTCTCTCTCTCTCTCTTCTTTTTCTGAATGGCTCTCTCATGAGCGCTAATTGTTTCCTTACGATGGATGGCGCCCCACCGCTCGCTCCGCTTGACCACCCAACCAAGCTCGGAGGACGACGACCTCTGGAGACGCACGAACCTTGTGTGTATGCCTTCCTTCCTCCTTCCGCCAACACAACAGCTCAGTTTTGTCCGTCCCCCCTCTGTCTCATTCAAACACCTCACCATCGTCGAGCTGCAGTTGGGCAACCTAAGCGACCTGCGCGCAACAACGGCCTTTTTGTCTCTCAACCGCACAAGAGCGCAGACCGACCGTGTGATAGACTGAACGTCAAGCGGGTGCGTTTCTTCTTACTTCTGTGATTCCACCTCCCCAGCCTTGCTCTACTCACCGCCGCCTGGTAGAACGAAGAATGGATGCGGCATTTTGCCAAGGGGGGAGCACAACTTCACTGACGATGGGCTGGCGCAACTCAACTACTCCCTTGTGCACCGGGAGCACAACAACCAGTGGGGCGGTTATGAATGGGTAAGTTTGACCCCGTTTTCGTTCATTGTTCACTCGTACCCTCATTCTCTTGTCATGGCCGCTGGTCACCAGATCGTGTGGGATCCGCAGACGCCAATTTTGGGAAACCAAAGGGACCATGTGCCACCTGAGGAAATTCAGAAGTGCTTTGATGACATCAGGAAGTCGTGGTTGTGGGCATAATAGATCTACCGGTGGTGGTGTCCGCTTGTTGCGGACCGGCACAGGCCGAAAGCAATCACGTGCCTCTTCGAGAGGCCTGTGCAAAAAAGACCAATAAAGAAAGAGGAAGAGGAAAAGGAAATTGATTACAAGGAGACAAGTAGAGACAGGCGCCGTGAGCTGATGCGGAGGAAGTGGGCGAGGCCTATGTCCCCGTGGTGTGTTTTCGAGACCCTAATCCTCCCCTTTTTGCGAATTAATTAACATCACGCCTGCCGCTAATTTGTTTTGTGTTGCCTACTTCCGCGAGCGCATCAGTCTCAGGACCAGCCGGCCCCGGTCCTGCTGCCCACCCGGGCATGCGACCCGCTCCCGTGGGAACTGGCCAACACCAACACCAACAAGCAAGCGCAAGGTCAAGGTCGAGCCGGCTGCTCAACAGTCTCCTCCTCGTCGTCTTCTTCGTCGTCGACCCTCACGGCAACGGCGGGATCAAGACCGAACCCGACGAACGCGAGCACGGGTACGAGTCGAAGGGCCGCGCGGTTGCCAGGATCAAGGAGGACAACGACGACGTTGGCGACGACGATGACGACGACGACAGCAACACCACCAGCAGCAGCAACAACAACGGCGGCGCCGAGCGCGAGAAGGGGCGGGGATCAATCATCGAGCTGGAGCGGGAGCTGGAGCCAGTCCCTCGCGGAGGGCGAGCCCGTCGAGTCGTTCGAAATGGAAATGCTGCGCGCCAGAAGGAGCAGTTCCAGGCCGAGGTGCGCCACCACCTCATGAGACTCTCTTGGACTCTCTCTTTTCTTCTCTTCTTGACTCTCTTTTCTCTTCTTCTTTCTCTTTGGTGTGTGTCGTGTGTGGTGTCGTGTGTCGTGTGTGCGGTGGACAGGCGGAGCAGCTGCAGAGGGAGAAGGAGGAGCTGGAGCTGGCGGTGGAGCAGACGAGGCGGGAGTTCGAGAGCAAGGCGCAGGCGCTGGACAGGGAGCGGGAGGAAGGCCCCACAACGAGGAAGCAGGAGAAGCGGAAGCAGGAGCTCCGCCAGAAGACCGCCCAGAAGCTGGCCGAGTTCGACCAGCTCAAGACCTCCCTCCAGCGCGACCTCCAGAACCGATGCGAAA